TTTCGATCGAATGGGGTCAATATTCCCATGGTACTTTGTTTGTGCTTTGGCCATCATGATTGTGGGGTCGCCCTCCCCACCCCCGCCCCAATGGAATTCTTAAATTTTTAGATACGTTTTTTTTTTTTTAAATAATTTTTGAACTTCAATGGAGTTTGTATGCTGGAGGTGGAAGACACAAACAGAAGAATAAGGGGTTCTTTGATGATTGCACCCGCCTTTATCTTCCTCCTCCTCCCTGTCTTTCGCTTTTCTCCTTATTGTGATCCAAATATCAATATATATATAATAAAATACACACACAGACACACACAGCCGGATCTTGCGATACATACAATTCTCCCTGCTGCTAATACTATTCCAACAAGCAACTGGGACCATATAAAGCACCACCAGGGTTTGTTTTCATCAGTCCATGACGAGCTGATGAGCCCTGTTGTGTATGCTTCACGTGACCCCACGGTACGATCCCTCAGATGCCAAAATACTCATTATAATCGCTCCCCTTCAGATTCTGTAATGCAATGTAACGTAACAAGTAATAATAAGGGTGGCAAGTGTAGGGGAAGAAATACAGTGCGGTCACTGGATATGTATGCCCCACACAGCACACACACATAAAAGTGCGCGACACACAAATCAAAACCTTGCGCCTTGCCTAGTTTTCCTTTTATAATCGGTAGTATTTAAAGCAGATATATACACACAGACACAACAGCTATATATCTGTGCATATGCATATATATTGTGTGTACTTACGGCTTACTAACTATAACTAATGTGAGAAGGGAGGGAACTGAAAATGGGGATAGAACTGATATACATGGAGGGGGTTTATTACTGGGATGAAAGAGTGCGGAGACACAAGTATTGCAGAATGGCTTTGGGGCAGAGTTATACGGAGATGAATGGATTGAGTTTGGAGGGTTAGAAAAAAGCCTCGTGATCGGAGAAGGCAGATCCTTGGAACACTGTTGCCTCTTGGTCACGTGGCTCTCTTTTGACCAACCCCATGACCAATTTTATCTCATTCACTTGTACTCCTCCTCTCCTGGTCTTTCCTATATAAATTCAAATCTAAACTCCAACACTTTGCTCCTAGCCTCATATCCTACCCTACCACTGATCCCCTCTCTTCTGACTGCTTCCCTTGGTCTTCCGTTGTCTTTCTTACTTACGAAGCCACTCTTTTTTCCTCCTGTTTCAAACTATTCATGTTGGGTCCCTCCCTCCATGTCTTTTTAGTCCCTCAGTCTTTGTTTGCTGTTCACGATCCACAACGTGGCCTACAGAGTCGCTGACTGGTATATATATGCCCCTCCATTTCATTCGCTCGCCAAGCTCTCATCACACAACAATATCCGCTTCTCATTTCTCTGTCCAACTATATTCCCCAACCACTCACCACTTTCTCGCAAGTAGTCCTCGTACTTCATTGTCGCCGCTTGTCCTCTGTTCCCATCCATTGAATTCGTCTTCTTCACAGCCCCTTTCGATCTCTCTTCATTTGAATCTCGAGTGACGAGGGGTGTTGGCTGAAGCAGAGAGCGAGAGTCATATATCGAAGAAGCATTAAGAAGCTAAGAGCCATGTCTGGTTGCGGCGGCTACGAGGGGCACGTGATGGGAGCGTGCGCATGTGGCATGTATCACAGCCAAGCCAATCCCTTCCCAATGCTATACACCGACCAAAATTCCTATGCCTATGACTACGACGAATCCGACATGTATTCTTCCCTCACGCCCTCCTCCTCTTCCGTCGACTGCACGCTCTCCCTCGGCACCCCTTCCACCCGCTTGACTCCAGACGAAGAAGGGCGCCGCAGCCGCAACGAACGACGTCGCTCCGTCTCCAACATGTGCTGGGATTTATTACAGTCCAATCAATCCCACAGTGGCAGGTCCAGCAGAGGCGGCTCTTCCTCCTCCAATGATCCCCTTCTCGCTCGTCGCTGCGCCAACTGCGACACCACTTCCACGCCCCTCTGGAGAAATGGCCCCAGAGGTCCAAAGGTTCTTGCCTGCTTCATTAATTAATTATTCGCTGGGCTTTCACTTTAATTTCCTTTTGTTGTTCTTTTCATGCTCTGCATTACGAGAATTAATGTCTTTTTTGAATGGCAATGGCAGTCGCTATGCAATGCCTGTGGGATCAGATACAAGAAAGAAGAGAGGAGAGCCAGCGCCGCCGCAGCCGCCGCCACGGCTTCGGCGTCGGGCGGAGTTATGGAGCCCCAGGCGATGTACGGACACCAAGACAATTACTGGTATGGGCAGTCGTACTCAGAGGCCCACAGAATGCCGTACTACTCGCCGGGAATGGAGGAAGACGGCAATGGAGAATCCGACAACGGCATGCCTTTTCTCTCTTGGAGACTAAACGTAACAGACAGGCCGAGCCTCGTCCATGACTTCACAGGATAAACATTTGAATGTGAATGATAACAGGAGCGACATTTTCATTTATAATTGATACTGGAAACTAGAAATGACAGGAGGGTCTAGCTGGTTACTAGTTGGACGGTCAAGATCACGCGGGTCTATGTCAACGTTTACGATGATGTTGTTGAAGATGTTTTTGATGGCGATGGTTATGGTCTCATCAAATTTTTTTGCCCCTTTTGTTTCCCTTGTGTCTGATTTTTGACCGTTCCCCCCCTTTTTTGCTTGCTTCTTCTCTCCGTCTCGCACATAAGATGGAGTTAGAATGGGACATCTATGCTGCTGTTAGTTACTTTGCTTTTTCTTTTGAGTTCTTTCTTCAGTCAATCAATTACATATATAGACCTACCTTTCTGTTTGCTTCGCTTTCCTTTCTTGTTTCCCAATGTTTATTATTATTTTCAAAACCATTATGATGAACACATGATCTTATAGATGGATGTATGGACCTTTTGCTCAATTCAAGTAAAAGCATACATACATATATATATATATAACAGCTCACAAAAACTGAGAGTTTAAGCTCCTCCCCCCCCCCACATGTATGTGTGGAAAGAAATATGGTTGATCTGTATTCATTTTGCCGAATTCCACAGAGCAGACATGGACCTTCAGAAATGGATAAATCAATATTCTCTTTGATTGTGAAAGAGTAAAATAAATATTTTTCTGGGCCAATGAATTAATGACTATATAATGTCGGATCGGATCACACTGCAGTGTCTGAACCGGCACTGTGCGGTTCAGAACAGTAAAAAAAATACTGAACTGTCTTTTTTGGACTGCATCATCGAATCTAACAGTTCCAGGAAGCAAGAAAATGCGCATAGCTGGGGTGGGAGAAGTGAGAACTGGCGCAACTTTTATCATAAATATCCAATCTAACATGATTGCTTATCTTTCTTTTTTCTTTTCACTAGATCGAAATGCTTATTTCTATATATTAATGGCAAAACATAAAAATGAGTAGCATATATACATATACATATATATATATTCATATGACGATGATCAGCAACTTTTAACATTTTCTACATATTACGTGCATGCAGATTTTAATATCGTATCCTCGTCGCTTGTTAATTTCATGATCATAGGATTATATGGAGATTTAGGTTGGGTTGATGGGACGGTAGGACAACGGCTTTGCTACGAATTGGTTGAGATATTCTCCAATCAGACCACGACATACATATAGATGTTTGTCCAACGTTTTATTCGTTTAACTACCTTGTTACTTCGGCACTTTTAACATTGAACACTAGAGACTTGGGTATGAAGCAGAATCTGGCGGATGATGGTTTGGTTTCAATCAAAATTTAGAACGTTTCCTACATAAAGATTTGACAACGCTTTGGACCCTGCAAGCCAGTGAATTAAAGAAGCATTATTAATTACAAGTATATTCGGGAGAGATTTCGAATAAAAATATATACTACTGATAAAAATATATATTTAAGTAATTTATATAGATTATAGAAACTTGTTGATTAAATTAGTTATGTGTCAAAATATGTCTGAATTTTCTTAAATATCCTTTTTAATCTTTTGTATTGAAACTATCAAACTTTTTTTAACATACATTGAAATCAATATAGATATCTTGATAAAAAATAATGAGTATGAAAGATAAAATAGATTGATATATTATATTATATTTAGGATTAAATTCAATCCTAAACTAGTTTTTATATTAGAAACCAGAAGTAATACAATGTGTTTACCCATTATTACCAAAGTTCTACATTTGTTTTTAATTTTATGGCTGATCATTATTTTTATTTAAAAAAAAGGCTCATGGATAACTTTTTGATAATATAAATTATAAAAGTAAATTAATTATCTAATTCTTGAAAAAATAATTTTATTTTTCAAAAATAAAACTTCTCCGTTCAGTCTTTTAATTAAAACATTGTTTCTTTACAAATTTGAGATATTACTTCAATCTGCATCGGTGAAATTTGAGAGGAAAATTAATAATGGGCTGCTTATTTAGAGTAACATCCATTATTGATTGTCAACTAAACATCTACAAAACTGTCCTCCTATTTTTTACGTTTCGCATGGAAAATTAATATATTTGTTGGTTTAATTTCTGTCATGCCAGGCTTCAAATCACTTTGACGCGTAAAAAACAACCTCATTGATGGAGTTTAACCCTATGCTTGCCATGAGAGAAATGGTGGCCTGGGGAAAGAAGGGTTTGGAAAAATTTTAATGAGCTTGTTTTGAAAAATTAAAGACGTGGGAGTTTTAAAATTTTAATTAAAAAAAAGATGCAAGATAACAAAATAATAAAAATTAATTAAAAATTTTTAGATTCACTTTTTTATTTTATTTTTTTAAATTAAGCTCATTAAAAATTTTTCTCTCCTCTCCTTCTCTCTATTTTCTTGGTACCAAACGGTCCCCGGGAGACAACAGTCCAAACTAAAGAGACTGTAATGAGCGTATATAAGCCATCCATCCGATTGAATACACAAAACAAAACCAAAATTATGATCAAATACAAAACCCAGTTTATGTTGGATATCTCTTTTTCTTGGAGACAATGTGAAGTACATTACTGCTACTACTACTATTATTATTATTATTATTCCAAGAGAGGTGTTAATAAGATAATATAAAACTACGAGATGCAGTTGTTCATGTTAAAATTCACAGACATGTTACTGCTTTTAAACTTATTTATAAGAAATAAATGATGGATAATTTAAAACAATACTAAATGTGTACGCCATGAAGGCAAGTGTGTGAAATAGCAGCAAAACGCTAGGGTGTGGAGAAGGTTAATCAGACCAAGTGGCTGATGAATTAAAACTGAAACAACATTGTACGTGACAACGAAAGTTTCACAACAAATAATATTAAAATATTTGGTGAACGAGATTACGTGCAAGAGAACTGTATAATCCTTTGATTAGATTTCATTAACCTTTTTCTGCGCTTCTAACACGTGCTCTAAGAGCTTAATTCATCGTTTGCAATCCTTTGATCCGATTTCGTTCACTTACCCTTCCACGTGTTCCCCAACCAACCACCCCCCTCCACTCTTGCTTATTGCTTATTTTTCTTAATTAAAATTAGCATTTCATTTTTCTTGTTTTATTAATACTATAAATTAATCATTTCTTTTTAACAAACATGCATGTCTATAAAAATTTCCAAAATCTTTAACTATCAATAATACGCAGGTTATAAGTTGTTGAATATTTTTCCGTATATATAACGCGAAGGTATGCATCATGCATAAGATTCAAACCCTTAAAATTAGAATAATAGCTCCTCACTTGGGTAATATACTTGCTTAATTGGTCTTGAATATTGTGTTTTATCTCTATGTCTATGTGGATTGAAAGGAAAAGTAGATCCTAAGATAGTGATTTTTTAACTTAAGATAGATGAATATAATTTACATAGAAAATCTTAAATTCTAATAACAAGAAGGAAATACAAAAGGAATAAAAATTTAAAAAAATAAAATGCTATAAAATCTTTTGCCGTTAAAGATTTTATATTTCACTGTAATAAATGCATTTTCATAGAGGTACATAACTAATAAACATATTGTTTTATAATAGTACTTCTAGTTTTTAATATACTAGTTTGTTTAACTTTTATTTTGATTTTAAATATAATATCTCAATCTATTTTGTCTTTCATATTTATCTATTATTTTCAATAAAATTCTTGTAATAATGATCATTGTAACCAATACATTTTGATTAGCAAAGATATTTTAAGAAAGATAACACATATTTATTATAAATAATTAATTTAATTAATTTTTTTAATCTACTTAAATTAGTCAACTAGTTATTATATTAAGAATCAGAAATAGTATTAAATTGGCACCGCGTACGGGTGGTAGACGCGTATTATGGTTATGGATGATTTGTCTGTAATAAATATAGTAAAGGAATGGAGAGTTATTTGGTTAAAAAGATTATTATTTTAGTATCAACATTAAATGAGATTAATTATTGAGCAGAATGGATCGAAGCATTTCCTTTGTTCTGAGCGGCATATATTATGTCGTTCCTATCCTATAGGATTTTGAGACGGAGGATCCTATCCAGAGTACGTTATCAAATATGACCCTAACCACCCCATGTTATCTTCAACAGTACACACCGTTGCACCCCATACACAAATGTTTTACTGTCTTTACATTCTTAATATAAAAACTAATTAAAAACTTAATTTGATCTTTTAGATGTAAGAATCGAACTCTAATATTTATTTATTTTATCATCAAGTACTCTTATTAAAGATTTCGCACTTTAAATTTATTTAAAAAAAAAAAAAACTAAACCATGTCGGGGGACAACTGACACCCAGCCAATCAAGGGCTAGGGGGCGTATCTTTGTATTAAAGTGGGAAAATGTTGATTCAATACAAAATCTAAAATGGAGGACTGCGGTGCACAGTTGGGCTATCATTAATTTTGCTAAAGTCAAGAGGTCATGTAGCTCACCAATGGCGGCGGCTTGTTTGAAATTCATCCCCGGATGTAGCTTTCAACTCTGCGACAAGCGATAACAACCCAGCACCAAACCCAACTTCCCCTCAGTTTAAAAACACTCTTAATCACTCTCTCTCTTTCTCTCATGCCATCTTCTTCAATTTCGCTATTGTCCCTTCACACGCATAGCCTGCACCTCCAGGGTGATCCATCAGAGACGACAACGACGACAACATGGTAAACCTCGTAGCAGCACAGAGACCATTATTGCATGGGCTAATGAAGATGGCGGGCATTAGACCCTACACGGTGGAGATAGAGCCCGGCACCGTCATGACCTTCTGGGTTCCGTCCAACACCGTCTCTAAGCCCAAAAAATCCGACGAAACACCCAAAGTCATCGGCAAGCCCACAAAACCAGTAGTAGTACTGGTTCACGGTTTCGCGTCAGAGGGAATAGTGACGTGGCAGTTCCAGGTGGGAGCGCTTACCAAAAAATACGCGGTTTACGTGCCAGACCTGCTGTTCTTTGGCGGTTCAACGACGGATAAGCCGGACCGGTCGCCGGGGTTTCAAGCAGAGTGTTTGGTGAGGGCGCTAAGGAAGCTGGGGGTGGAGGAGTGTGTGGTGGCGGGGTTTAGCTACGGAGGGATGGTGGGGTTCAAGATGGCGGAGATGTGCCCGGAGATGGTGAGAGGGCTGGTGATATCAGGCTCCATTTTGGCCATGACGGATAACATAAGTGAAAGTACGTTGAAAGAGCTGGGGTTCTCATCGTCGTCGAGCTGTTGTTGCCGACTTCCGTTAAGGGACTGAAGGCTCTTTTGTCTGTGGCGACTTACAAGAACCTCTGGTTCCCTGATCGCCTCCATAAAGACTTTCTCGAGGTCCTCCCTTCACACCT